TGCAGTGAATTTTCTTGCTTTCTTCCTCTTTATTTAATCATAATCACTTTTGTTTTAGTTAAAATATGAAGATATTTCTTACTCATTCGTCTTGCTCCGCTTATGTTGTCAGGCTCATCAAAAATCTTAGTTTTAGCAGCTCCCTTTACACAATTGCATCAATAAATCAAGCTTTGAATCGCAATTGGCTCTGGATGACGCTTTAGCTAGATCATTGCAGTTAGGGGATGATTTTGAGGATTTCTGTAGAGATGAGCTTAATTCTACTGTGGCTGGTAATTTCGTAAGAAACACTTCTTGGTCATACAGCTCTTATCTCTGCTTTACCTAGATCTTTATTCCTCTGTTAATAGAGATTTGATATTCTTCTCTGTGGTTAAAGAAGATGTTAGTCATCTTATTATAACCGGTCTATAAGTATAACCGTTCTATAACCGCAACCAATGATATATACACGCCAAGATGTTACAACTTTGCCAAAATTAAGACTTTTTTACACTGAACTTTAGAATTCTTTCATACAAACAATGTTCAATATATATTATATACATCTAAAACCTAATATTTTACCTATATATGGAGTGTAATTTTCCGACGAAGGATGGTTGCCCATGGAAAAGACACAAAGAAATTACACAGTGTACGCAAGCATTACAATTTTTAAACCTTTCATCATTAGCTAGATCTAGCGTGGACGAGTTTCAAATGGCAAACGACTTATATAAATATTACCAGATTAACAATGATAGGTATATTGGCAAGGTTTTTCTATGGATGTGCATAAGATTGTGCAAGTGGATCTCAAATTTCCTACCAAAGCAATTGTCTCAGCAGTTGCCAAGGACTTCATTGGTCAGATTTTTCTCTAATCCATTGAGATACTTTAAAATATTACAGCACGTAATCTCGGGGATAACTTGTTCTTTTTAATTCATGTTTCTGGGATTTAGATGCTTGTAAGGATTCTACTCTGGAAAAGGTACTTGGGCATACTTGGATTGTGCAGAATGCAGATCCTTCAGGTGTTCAACTATTCGTTCTCCCAGAGAACCTTATAGGAGGTCAATTTTATTGCAACCTTTAAGGTGAGTTCTTTGTTTCATCTTACTTTTAATCTGCTCCTAATTTGGAGTTCCTTATAAAGAGATAATACACAGATCTAAGTGATATAATAAACTACGGCCTCTCTTTAACTTGGTTAAGTGTGAAGCCGAGTTTCTGCATGTTTAATTGGATTGTAGGATCTGTTAGTTTCAAAAGTTTCTTCTGAATGTTATACTTTATTTTCTGCCATTGGGTTTCTATGAGGAATAGAGCATAGAGCAGAATGTTTTTTCCATTTTTGCTGTTGCAGTTTTGCTCTTTTATAGTAAGCGCATAGCTGAAAAAGCTTGGTTGAGCTTTTAACAACATGATAATGAGACTATAATCATTAATGTGCGACTTGTATGGAATTAGATATTGAAAATGATAGATAACTTTGTGGAGGGGGGAGTTCTGCCATTAGTGTTTGTGTTGTTGAATCAATTAATATCCTGTTGTGAGAACTGGAAAGAAGGAATAGGATCAGAATACGTTGGATTTCTTGTTTCCAAACTTTCACTTCCATTAGTTTACCGTAAATTGCATACAGTAAGGAAGGTTTAATTACATTAGCAACATTCGAACTTGTACATATATAGTTGAACTATGATTTTTGTGTCATTAAATTTTTTCTTAACAATTGTTGCTTCCATTGACATAAGTAATTGGCAACACTATTGTGATCAACATATAGGTATCCAAAGTTGAATTACATGTATACTGGGTTTCTATACGATTTGCTTTAAGATTGTTGAGTGGGTTACTGTATGTAATAGTGTCTCAAAATGAGAACTAATGTAATTCCTCATTGAATGCACCATTTCCAGAT